TTGGATTTTAAAATCGCGTGAATATGAATCACGATTTTGGATTTTAAAAACACGAAAATACAAATAACGATATTGGATTTTAAAATCGCGTGAATACAAATCACGATATTGGATTTTAAAATCGCGTGATTATGAATCGTGCGGTTGGATTTTAAAATCGCGTGAATATGAATCGAGCTGTTGGATTTTAAAAACACGAAAATACAAATTGCAAAACGATATCTGATATTACAACTGCGTGATAACGAATCGCAAAATTGGATTTAAAAATGCGTGAATACGAATCGCGAAGTTGGATTTTAAACTGACGAGAATACAAATCGCGATATTGGGTTTCAAAAACGCTTATTGGATTTCAAATCGCGATATTGGATTTTTAAATTGAGTGAATAGGAATTGCTAGTACGATTTTTAAATCGCGTAAAAAAATTGCAACACGTAAGTTTTAAATCAGTTAAATACGAAAATCGATGATTAATATTAAAATCGTCTAATTAAAAATCGCGATTTTGGCAGATTCTGGTGCAGTTCCTAATATTTAAAATTCCAAAAATCAGTCAGACAAAAAAAAAAATGAAAATCGGCTGTCGGAAACGAAACGCTTAGACTCCTATAGCGGAAGTCGCAGTAATCCGACTATCGTTCGGGCGGCTTGGGTTTCTCCAATAGGACTTCCCAAAAATTTTAGTTTTTGGAACATGGTCGGAAATTTTCAAAATTGAGAGAGAAAAATGCGGATTTCCGCTTTTTCGCGGGGACAAGAAGCATTCATTGGAGGATAATCAAGTGATGCTTGATCGCGATGAAGCAGATGCGTTTCGCTCCGAAAAACTAAACATAACGGAATGGGAAGAAAAGAGCGGCGATGCGGGACAAAATTATTTTCCAGAATCGACGTGAAATTCCCTGAGAATTCCCGGTTTTCCAGTGGTATTTCAAAATTCCCTGAGAATTCCCGGTTTCCAGAGTGAGTGGCCACCCTGTAATAAATATAGTTAGCCCAATGTAACTCACACAAGAGCACAGTAATTGTTGTTTCCTCTTAATGTTGTATAATATGCACAGAGAATTTTTTCCAGATTTGAGTGGCAACCCTACATATTTTCGGGTATCTGAATTTGCAGTTTCAGTCTTTTCCAGAATCACTGTAATCTATGATAGAACTGCGTCACTAAATAATATTGGTATGATTTGGTAACAAATGAGGAAGATACCTAAAAGGAACTTTTTTTTAATTCGATTTAACAATTGTACATGCAATACATAACAATAGTAAGACACAAGTATTTTATATTATCTCTGCTAATATGTGAAACAGGTAAATTTAGTGTTCTGATCAAGTTATAATACAAAATTTTGAAATTTGTGTGATTAAAAAAGCAATGTCCTATATATAAAAAAGAATACAATTGATAATTAGGCATTTTCATTTACAAATAAAACTTAAAAGTATGACACAAACACGCTATTGAAATATATATTTTCCTGTTTACAAGATTGAACTATAAAAGAAGAGCAAACAAAACTTATGGATAAGTAGTATTTTAAAAGAATAACTCGTAATAAATTATATAATCTTTGATACCATAAAATAATTTTCAATTGAGTAGAATGTCGTATAGATTTTAATAATTGCATAAGAAAATTTCATAGAAAAGATTAGTTATACCATCACTGGTTATCCCAAAGTAACTAAAAGAATTTCAATTAATTACTATAAAAAAATGTAGTAACGCAATCATGCAAGAATATTATGTGCTATATATTTTAAGTAGTGAATTTCATATTCAATACTCTCACTTCTTTAATAAAGGCAAAAGTTGTGAGTTTTTATCTTAAAAAACTGTGCACTTAAACCAACATCTCAATTTTGCACTACAGTATGCATTTATAACGTTTCTAATACTCTTATGCTTCAAAAAATATGAGTATTCTAATACTATTATACACCTTTAATATTATAAATCTAGTATTGCTATATTTGTTTTAATTTATAACTCTTCTTGATGCAACTAATTTATAACTATAAATGCATCAGTAAATTAACCATAATTAATAAGGTTCACTTTAATTCTACCTTGTTCAATAGCTGATTTAGTTATTTCTTAAACTGATAACTTAAAATATATATACCATACGTCACTGAACATATATATATATGTAATTAGTTTAATCATTATATTACTGTCAAAATATCACACATTAAATGGCCAATATACTAATTAAACTACTATCTAATTCTTAAAAAAATACGTTTAGTGCATATAATGCAGATATGCTAATTTTTAATTTGTTCATGTTCGGGCTTTTACGCAACACCTCATAAGAGTTGTACCATTAATGTACGTCAAAATAATTTTATGTACGAAGTTAAAAGATAACGCTTCATATTAATTTTGTTTTAAATACCATTATTACCATACAGGTGGTAACTTACAAAAAACCTTAAAACTGTTAGTTGTAGCATTAGTTGTAAATTTATATTTTGGATTTCAATACGAAGTATGAATATTATCAGTAGAATAGCACATTTTATCAGTTAATTTAAAGATACACTGTATACTATTTGCTTTAAATATTAATTATCAAAGAAATTATAATCTATATTTGGTTATTAAATTAAATGATATTAAGCAATTTTAAAATAATAGACCAACCAATAATTTGCAGTACAATAAATAAAGTAAATATCAAAAAATTTAAGTACACTGGTTCTTACCTAAAACTCATAATTTAACTAAAGATCTTAATCAAAACATAAAGTAATAAAAAAAACAATATCAGAGGCTGTTTTTCCTATTATTAATTATTTAAAAATTGTTTTATATTTCAAATTAACTTTATGCTTGGGTATTTGTTATTAAGATTCATCTTAATATAAAATATTTTTTTACGATTGTTAAAAGAAAACGAGAAATAATTTAAACAAATACAACTGTACTTCCTACAGTGTGAATTTTAAAAAAATGGGACAAATATATGAGTAGGTTTTTAACACAGTATATACCTATTTCTAATAAGATTGTTTGTAAAAATATAATCTATAATTAGATCACTGTACAACTAAAATAGCTAAAAAAGGAATTATATGCAAATGTCAAATAATGCATGTTTTGAGACTTTTTTTTTTAAGTAAATTGATCATATTAAAGTTAAAGGAAGCTACACTTAAAATCAAACATCATTTCCGCAAAACAATTAGGTAAATGACTTAAGAGTTTTTTAATGAATAAAATGACTAGAATTATTTTATCAATTGGTGAAGTATGATAAGTTTCACAGAGTTTTAGTTCTTAAAAACTGTATTTGTCTTTATTTGAAAAAGGATAATGTACATCAATGAAAACATACTTAGTTAAGACACCTCAAATTTTCATTATTATATTTCCCTTTCTAAATAAATATATTTCTTTTTTTTTTTATTTTTTAGAAAAACTAACATAATCTTAATTTATTATCTGATATTTTTTAAAATTATGATTTAATTAATTTCTAGAGCTAATAAAGTTCACAATTTAATACTTGAAATTAATACTATTTACTTTAATACTATTTAGTTTAAAAACTTGAATATGTAAAATGTGAGATTCACATAAACTAATATTAAAGAAGTAACTTCATATGCATATTGAAGTAAAAAAATGAAGCAAAACTTATTGAAAATATACAACTATAAGTTTTTTAGTTTTGCTCCAAACAAAAGAAAAGAAATGCAAAAATAAGTATATTTTCTTAATAAAAAAGCACCGTAAAATTACAGAATACTTTGTCTTTTTTATCATTCATTTTTGAAAAGTATTTTACAAATAAATAAAAAATTTATGGCTATTCATGTGTTAAAAATTAGATTATGTAGAAATTATAAGGTTTTTAAAATACACTAATTGTTATAATAAAATAAAATAAAAAATTTCTTAGTGATATTTAACAATATATAAAAATATATCACTTACATTAAATTTAAATAAATATCTATTAAAAATATACATTATAAAATTGCTGGAGTCTTAAAAACCCGATATATATTTGTAAACTAAACATAATTTTTCTAAAATAGTAAATAAAGAACAATAATGCATTTTAGCATAATCGTTTCAAACAACAATTTTTGTTAACTGTGATAAATAATCCATCTTTAAGAAAATAACTCTCCTAGGCTGAGATGCTTAACATCTTAAAATTCAACAACAGTTGGTGCACAGGTAACAATCATTTCTGTGAAATTCATTTTTCAAAAAGTAGATGAAGCTATCTCATTTCTGAAAGATGCATTTTCAATCGCTAGCTTCTGGTATAATTGTATCTCCAACAATTAAGGAATGAATGATTCCTTCTCTTTTATTTCCACTGCTGACAGCTTTTATATATGCTTGATAAGATCCCAAGGCAAAATGAGTTTCTGTACCCTCATCTACAAACTCACCCTGAAATGAGAATACAATTAATTCATAAAACACTAAAGAAATTTAATTTCAACTTTTAAAAAATGTTAGTTGATTTCTTCCATGAAGTCATGAGATCATTTTAAGTACAGTAACCAAAGCAATTAAGAGTAGGTCAACTTCAGATAATTGAAATGATCATTAACTCTAAAATTTCATTAAAAAAAGAATTCTGAAGGGTTTCTTTTAATATGCTATATAGTATTTAATTTCAATATGACAATTGAATTTAATAAATGTTCTTTTATCAAATATGTATGATGATATTTTATTTTAAATTTTTCTTTCATAATAGGCTCATATAAGTACTCATTTTCTTGTCTGTCTTTTTTTTATAAAGCATTTGTCTGCAAAACAGTTCCATTTAATTACGAATTGAACGCTGATTTTATTGATTTATATTTCTTTACAAACTCAGTAACGCTTCTCTCATTCCATTAGCCAGGATTCCAGCCCAACAATAATGTATTTTCCTTGCACAAATTAAAAAAAAGTTTTTTTTAGTAGAAAAGAAAATAATTTAACTAAAACCCATTAGTATTAATGAAAAAATAAATGAAACTTAAAAAATTAGCAAAAACCAAAGCAACCAATTTTACAAAATTTTTGTTTCTAAATCACATACAATGATTAAATCTATGTAATCATGAAGTACAAATCATATAATCATGCAATTTTTTTAAAGGACACTTGCATAGCAGAATTATGAGATCACATAATTGAAATTGAGCAGAAAAAAAGCTAACTTTGCACGCAAAAGAAAAAAATACTCCCAAATGGAACTTCAGTATACAGAAGTTTTCCAATGAAAAATATTCCAACGATAAATTTTCTTGTGTATATTTGAAAATGTGAGGACTCAAAATCATATTCGAAAGTAGAATAAGAGAAAATGTATTTAAAAATTCAACAGTGCAACAAACTCAAAAGTAATAATTTTAAATGTAATCTTTAAATAAATATGTACGTACAGCAGTTTCCATTTTATCACCATTCACCCAAACATCAAGAGTATCTTTTTCTGAAAGTAAAAATTTAAATTTTTAATTATATAATGAATATCTAAAAATAGAATAACATCATAAATATTTATTTAATTATTGAAATAAAATGAAACTTAATAATTGATAACAATAAATATTGATAACATAATTCATAAGCACTATATTGTTTATTTGTATCTCGACCTGCCCATTTAAGGGCATACGAGAGTAGATACATAAAACATATATTAAACATACATAAAACACCAGAAATTATATTAATAACTATTATTTTAAAATCACAGATGTCAGTGGCAACAGCCCGACAGAAAAAGTACATCACAAGTAACAACACAAAAAAGGTATAACATCAATGACATCTGCTAAAATTGAGCCATTATAAAATTAAAAGTAAAAGGTATTTGGGCCAACAGGCCCTTATGACTTTATGGTTAAAAATAGGTCAATAGAAAAACCCTAATATTTAAAACAAACTGTGGCTCAAAAGTTATAATCAAAATGCACAAGATCATCCCCAAATTTGTCGACAATTGTGGTGTCTCTACAATACAAAGCATATGATTCATAATTTATAAGATGAGCTAAAGACTCAAACAAAATCAACATGGCTACGCAGGGCCAGTACTGTTTGTCTAAGATAGATACTGTGCCAGACATTCGTTTGGAGCTGTGGCGGTGACTATGGTAACTAGGTATGATTATTTCAAGTAGGGGTGCGGGGTCCCTCTTTAGGACTGGTTTCGGTGAGAGAAAGGGAGACCTCTTCATTAAAGCTACCCTCCCTAAAATGCCCTGTTCTTGTTTCCATTGCACCAGATTGCCGCAGACTTAATGGCGGTCACAGTACCTATCTTAGACAAACAGTAGAGATGGTCAATCAAAACATCACCATTAATACATCGTACACTTTACACAGATGATCCAGCAATTAAAATCAAAGCCCAATATGGGCCCTCACACAATTAAAAAAAATCAAAAGATTACAATGCATAAAAAATATAAAATCTCAAGAAGGAAAGATTAAAATAGTCCCAAAGTTTAAAAGTAACATTAGGACATCACACATTAAAACAATGGAATAAGTAGTTAAAATCATGACCCATAACCGGGCCAAGACATGATTAAAAAACCCAATATTTAAAAATTTAAAATCAGAAAAAGTTTAAAAGCCCAGGAACAACCAACCAGTAGTTGAACGCTGAGTCTAAATTTAGTAAATTTAAAATAGTAAAACATGATACGGTTGAGACACCCAAATTAGTGGTCGTGGATTCATAAACACTATATAAAAAAGATTTGATAAGTTAAACAACAGTAAAATTTTACATAAAATGATACAATGCATGTTCGAATTAAATTCTATATAAACAATTCATTTTGTAATTTAATAATATTAGTAAAAACACATTTTTTTTTCATTTTTACTAATTTCAATTGAATATAATAAAATGCAAAGAAATTTTTCAATGCAAATTACTTCCAATAAAGTACATCCTGATTTATTTCATAAAAAATTTTACTTTCTCAAATTTTTAATTTATAATATTTTGGAACATTAAAAAGTAAACAAATATACACAGTGAAAATCTTTAAATTTTAAAATAAATCCTATAAAAAATTTTATGTATTGTTTCATTATTTTGTGTCTGTTACATTTTTTTATGCAGAGAGTACAAAATTTTTTAAAAAATGTGCTTCCTTTTTTTATAATGGACTTAATTAAATTGATTAATTAAAGTATTTTATGAAACAAATATACAGTTAAAAGCTGCACATAAATTTTACAACATATATTACGTTAGAGCGAAAGTTTTCAGTCTTTTGACAGATTTCCATCTCTTAGTAAATTTTTAAAATAAAGTGAATTTTGAAACATGATAACAACTAGAAAATAATAAAAGTCTGTATAACTATCTATATTTCTTGTTTTTCAACAGATTGGTTAAAAAAAATCATTTTTCTTTTTAAAGATACATAATTTTTTATTTTTGTAAAATCATGAGGCATGTCCCTTTTTATTTTAGCAATTTCAATCAAGAATTTTTGAATTCCTGTCTATAGTAAAAACCGTTACAAATATAATTTCATTTAATTTTAAAATATGATAAAAATTATTACTGAGTAAGAAAATTTAACACCAACCAAGAACAACTCTAGTAGGTTCGCTGTCCACATCAACAATCCAAGTTTTGAGAATCTTAGATTGATTCTCTTTAAACTTCTTGTATTGTTTCCCATTTACAATCAAAGAATATTCAAAAGACAAGCCTTTAGCAGGATATATCGCAATAGAGCAGTTATTATTTCCGATTTTAAAGTTTTCATGTCCAACAAGTTTAAACAGCCAATCTCTTTTCAATATTTCCTAAAAAACAAATGGAGAAAAAATATATTCATGATGATTAATGTATCATAGAACCATTAATGTTAAACCAATTATTAAAAACAAAATAGTAATTATGTAGTCAACTAATTGAGAAAGGTATCAATTATCTCATGAAATTGTGTTCATTTTAAAAAAAGGTAGTCACAAAAATTAATTTTTATAGGTCCAAAATAAAATAAAATATGGTACCAATTATTATTCACATATGCCTTATATTATTCACTGACTCAAACAGGAATTCTTAATTCCAAGACAATATATTTGATTATGACCATTTTTGTGACACATACATTAAATGAAAGAAACTTAAATGGATTATTTCTAAGATTTTTTAGGAGCATGTTGTTATTATTTACTGTTACTACTCTCTGAAGGAAATTGGTAAATAAGGAGAGTTTATAAATAAAAAAGAAAAGGCATCCCCACAAAAGCCCAAAATGGGCTATTAATTTTGGCCATATTGGGTATATGGCCAAATTGGGTCATATTTTAATATTAGGTTAAAGCTCCATAATTTTATAACCAACACCATGATAGAGAAAATGTTATCAGCATTGTGCACAGGCTGTCTTTACTTCCTAAACAGGCTGGTACCCATTGATCTGAAGCTGGATAGGCTTTAAGACGCTACTGGGGATCGAATCCCGATTCTTCCCTAAAATAATAACACTGAATCCTCGAAGCCAGAATTTATAAATATTTGGAGTTAATCAAAAAGGTTGGCAAATCATTTTACTAGGAAAGAAAAATTTTGACAAATCATATTGATATCAGTTTATGCCTACAATCACTTATTTTTTTATTAAAATATTTTTTATTAAACCTTTTATAAGAAATATAAATTCAAACATTATTTTCCAACTTTATCAATATGAACCAAATAAATCAATGAAATTCACATTTAATAACTACCATTTAAAGTCAAGACAGAGAGCAAACATATTATATGTGAGTAAACATAATTAAAATGAAGCATATATATGAGATATATATATAAAGCATATAACACATGGAATGAGTAAAAATAATAAAACCTTTCCATCAACTCTGACAATTCGTTTCCCAGATGTTGTACCATGCTCAAACTCAATCATGTGTTTCTTCCCATTTAATGTTACCTCCCAAATGCCAACTATTTGAGACATGTTTAACTATTTTTATCTGAAAAGGAAAGAAAACAAATTGTAATAATATGTGCATACATTTAAAATGTCAGAAAAGTGTCAAACAATAATATGTAGGTTGTACTAGGATTTTAACGAAAACACCAGAAAAGATAGAGGGGAATCACGACAAAGTATATTCGCCCCAAAAAACGATACCTAAGCAACAGGAACCCTGTGAAATTTCAGACAGTTGTGTAGGCAATAACATGTCTATACAGAACTCACCAACCGAATATAATGATGAAATAACCAAAATAAGTGCAAAGGAATTAAATACAAATGACTTTCTTCTAGTTAAGTTTGCAGGAAAGCGAAAAGTGTTTCATTACATTGGTATCATTAATGAGATTAACAATGATGAATTGCTTGTGAACTACCTACAGAAAAAAACTGACAGTTTAAAATTTACATATCCAGAGAAAGAAGATAAGCACTGGACTGATATTGCTGACCTTGTGTCAAAATTGCCACCGCCAAAAATTGACCAACAAACTATGCGATCATCTACAATTTTGAGTTTCGATTTTGATTTTTCTTTATATGACCTTAAATAATTATTCATAAATAAAAAAAATTTTAAAAGAGCATTGGTATTAATAATTTTTAATGAAATAGTTTCCATACATAATTTAATGTTTATTTTATTTAGTACAAAATTTGCTTATTTTTTATATTTGTCCCATTAGCCCTGCATCATGTCCCATTAGACCCCATACATGGGGACTAATGGGACAATGATATGACTTCAAAAATGGAAATTTTTTATGAAACTGATAAGTCCTTTTCAAACAGATAAAACATTTTTTATTAGGCACATATGCATGCTTTAATTTAGTAGAATTTTTAAAAAAATATCTACATATTTTACTGAAATACAGCTTAAATTAAAAAAGTGTCCCATTAGCCCCCGCTCTCCCCTATTATAATACCAAGTAATACAGGATGGGAGAACACTAATCAAATTTTACGTTTTTTAGATCAATTCTATTTATATGCGAATTAAGCTTATTTTAATGCTTTAACTTTAAAAAAAAATAATAAATTAATAATGATAATCTGCTTGCATCTCAACTGCAGTATTCAGATTCTTTATTACTTACTTTTCATGATCATTAACTACTAATAAAATTTACAAAACATAATTATACCTTATAGAACTGAAGTAAAAGATGAAGATTCTTTTTTGATGCAAATGAAACCTGTATAATGGCATGAAAACAAAATATATGCAATTTAAAAACAAAGCATAAGGGGGGATTATCATAAATACGTAATATAAGACAAAGATAATAACAGATAACTTTTTTTAATGAATTTATGCTTCATTCGCTAGTTTTTTTCTTTAACTTTAAATACATACGTGTATAACACACAGATTCTGACTGGTTGCCATGGTCACCACATTTTATACAAACATTTTAATTTTTTAAAGGATTATGAGTAAAATCGTTCCAAAAATGCATACAGATTAAAAGAATTCATATTTTTAAAACAAATTATGTACCTAAACGTACCTAATTAATTCTTAAACGCAAGATGAGAAATTTTATAGAGGAATTGATGCAATCCACGGAACCAAAACAAACCGCTACTTTTTAATTGCTTGTCAATTTGCTTCACTTCCGACTGCTTATTTCTGCTCAGATCAAAGCAAACAAATATTGCTAATATGCCAAAGAAATATAATTTCATTTAGATGACATAATTTACTATTAAATAATTTATTATTACATGAAAGGAAAGCCGACCAACGTCTTTAGTTGTAGTCTATTATTTACGTTGCATTAGAGCTGTACAATGGGCTACTGGCGATAGTATGGGAAACATTCCAAGGATGATCCAGAGACATTCCATCACAAATTTGATCCTCTGCAGAGGGGATGGCAACCCACCCTTCGGTAGCCCGACGACCTGCGGGCAAAGTCAAGCACTTTCCGATATAAGCGTTTAACGAGAGCCAATATCGCACACCCTCGGTCCATTTGCAGACTGATCCAAGTGGTCACCCACCCGCACACTGACGGCAGCCAGTGATGCTTAACTTCGGTAATCTACTGGGAACCGTGTCTTAACGATCAGTCCACTGCCAACATCCTTAGAGAATTTAAGAACTGGTAGCAAAATTTCTATAAAAACATTCGAAATCTCACCTCCTCGAGAGATTTCTATTCTCGGAATATCAAACTGGGAAGATAAAGCTGTGAGTTTTTAAATATTAGTTTCGAAATTTTACAACCAGGTTTTATTTCTCTGAAAACTCGTTAATCAGGTTCTCGTAGCATCTCTAAATTCGTAGCCGCGATTTTTCCCACGTTGTGTCGTGAAAACTGTCCCTCGAGACAGGGAAAGAACTATGGCTAACACAATACAGTCGCTCGATTTAATAGCTGAGCTCCGGACCTCTTGTAAAAATTTTCACAGAACTGAAATTGGCCCTCTCAAAACTGGTTGGCTGAAATAAACGACCCACCATAAGATGCCACTCAAATTGGTGACCATAAGATGCCACTCAAATAAGATCATAAGATGACTCAAATGACCCACCTTAAACATTCTGAGGGTGTTGCGCTAAAGCAAAAGTTTACAAAATGAGCAGTCCAAGGTCGGCAAAACAACACGACTAAAAAATATAAAAATTTCTTTCCAACTCGAACGAGAATTTCTCTACTTAACGGACATGCCCTATTCTCCTGTAACCATGTTTTGAGGCAAGTAAACTTGAATAGATTATACATGTCGTCCAAACAGATGTATCACGCCTCTGGCTCTTTGAAAAAATAGTCTGGCATTCATAAGTTGTTTCCGTCCTCCTCCTCCATTCTGAGGTGGATAAAGCTCATGTCGCGATAAAGCTAAGTCCTCAAAATGAGCATTCCTAGGTGAGCAAAACAACATGACTAAAATACTTTAAAAAAATGGAACAGGGCTCCATATGGAGCCCCATACCATTTTTTAAGGGAAAAAATTGTTTCCAACTCAAATCGGAAATTTTCTACAGTAGGAATATGTCCTATTCTCTTGTAACCACCTCTTGAGACAGATATCGTGAAACAAATGTCCACATTTTGATTTTGTCGGACTATATATATGTCGTCCAAACAGATACAACACGTCTCTGCCCTTGCGAAAATTTAAGGTACTATATTTGAGGTTGTTTTGAGGCATCGAGGTTGTTTTGAGATACATTTGTGGTTGCTGAGAAAATAACCACAAAAATTATACCTCATTGAAGGCTGTTTTACATACACTTCAGATCACTTTGAGGTTGTTTGAAATTAACTTCTTATCAACCAGACTCATGAGGTAATTTCTAAGATACACCAGGCTGTGTTTCTAACACTTATAAGAAAAGAGGTATTTATAAGGTATAAAAAAATTTACCTTATTTCAACGAAAGAGAGGGAAGTATTTATTGGGGTGTATGCAGTCATTTTATTTATACCGACGCTTATTTTGAGGTTGCTTAAAGTATGCTTCATGTAAACTAGCTCACTTCCCATAGCTCCTTAAGAACCGGTGAATGGGGTGTGTGTTGACAATCGAAAGTCTATGCAAAAGAAAGTTTTTGGATTTTGTTGGAATTTGAAGAAGAGCCTCAGGGCTCATATAAATCTTGATAGGCTAAATTAAGCCTTACCTATTGAAACGCAGTGCTATAAGCGAAAGCATAGAGCACGNGAACTTCGGATTTTCCACTGTGGCAAATGGCTGCATTGATGTTGCAATAAATTTTGCCACAGCTTCGGTGCAATTTTTAGACGATTTATTGTCCAGCGGTTGAAAATCTAACATAGTTTTTTGCCGCTTTTTCACACTTTCACTTGGGTTCTGTTCAGCATCAACTGGAGCTGAAGGATCATCAACATCAATGGCAGGTATAGTACTTCTTGTCAATTGTTTGCTTGAAGTGTTCAATTCCCTAAATTTTAAAGGATGATGATGTTTTAGATGACTTGTCAGGTTACTTGTACCCCCACTTTTTGATCCAACAGTTTTTGAGCATAATTTACATACAACAATATTTTGGTTTAAAATCCGGCCTTTATCATCAGCTGGTAAACCGAAATAAATCCAGACATCGCTTTTAGTGTTGGGCTTTGATACTACCTGGCAATATCCTGGACAATCAGTAAGAGCATCCATAACAGAAATATTCTATAAAAGAATAATAATGAAATCAATATAAATTTTTTTTGACAAAAGTTTTCAATCTTACTTTACAACTCAACAATTAACATAATCCATAATGTGACAAAATCTTTGCTATTATCATTATTTTTTTTTATTTTTTATTTAGTTTATAAAACATAATTTTGGGAAAAATAAACAGAAAGGAAAAAAAAAGTACATACAATCAAAAATCTTCCAACGTACTATTTTAAAATAAGACTACATATTTTTTATAAGAAATTTAATTCAAGATGTCAATAAACATGGGTTAACAATATTTACCTAATTTTTATAGGGAAAAAACAGAGATCTGAAGTAATGTACTACAAGTAGTGAAACTATGTACAATAATTGCTACTTTTNAGCTTTTTTGTCTTTTGGCTAATCTCATCCCTGTTTACTAGAATATTTCGCCTTTACTAATAAATATTTCGCCTTTATTAAAATTGCAGCCTTTACTAATTATTATACATTAACTAGAAAATATCAACAAAAAAAATTTAAAAAAAGAATCAAATCCCTAGAAACAAAACAATTGTTTTCAAATGTGCTACTTAAAATACTAAAATATTACCTAAATATATTTTTAAAATGAATTTGAAGAATTCGATAAATTTCCACTATTTTCTAAAATTCAACAAAGCCTTAATAATAATTTTTTTAAAAAAATTTGCTAAAATTAAAGTAATTTTTTTATTTTAAGCCATTGTAAAAAAAAAAGTTAAAATATATTATAAAAATATTAAAATATTGTATTAAATGACAGCATTTTCTAGAATTCTTCATAACATAGATAAAAATGAATAAAGGATTTCAAATCGTTAAAATCAAAGCAATTTTTTCAAAAGACGCTATTTAATATTTAAATTCTTTCACCCCTAAATCAATCACGTGCCATACCAATACCTCCTAGATACCATACCATACCGCCACTTCCCACTTCCTCGCCGCCGGTCGACCGAAGATATTGGCTAGCGGTGAGTACCGAGAGGTGCAGGCATAGCGACGTTCAATAACTCGGTATTGCCGAAGAATATACTTCCGAATATCATTACCGCGGTATCAAAGAAATATCGGTAAATGACGGTATTACGGTATATTGCCCAGGCCTATTGGTGACCATAAGATGCCACTCAATTAAAATCATAAGATGACTCAAATGACCCACCTCAAACATTCTGAGGGTGTTGCGATAAAGCAAAAGTTTACAAAATGAGCAGTCCAAGGTCGTCAAAACAACACGACTAAAAAATTGAAAAATTTCTTTCTAACTCGAACGAGAATTTCTCTACTTAACGGACATGCCCTATTCTCAGGGACCGATCAAGGCAAATTCAGGCCCAAGGCCCACAAAATTTTCCGGGCCCCTAACGAAATACTTTGAAGTTAAATTTCTGAAGAGTAGTCCTAACAATAAAAAAATCTATTGAACTGTATGATTCAAGAGAAGCATTTTGAAAATTTTGAAAGCAGACAATAGAAGATTATTTTTCTAAGATAAAGTTTACGCATCTAAATATTAAAGCAAAATATAAAGCAACAAAACGATGCTGTATGAAAATAAAAATAGTTTGGTGACCACAAACAATTGAAATCAGTGATTTTTGCTAAAAGTCACTGATTAGCTGAATTATTTTAAAGATTGTAGCCTTCCATCTACAGCTTAACATATTTGTTACAAATCAGCTTTCAGTTCTTGTTGACAATAATCATTTATAAGAGACTTTGCGAATATGCATTCTCGTTGCATTTGCATTGCAAGCCGTTGGAGTAAAAATTGCACCGATTAAATTTCAGCTGTACTTTTGAATTTGATTAGTGCAATGTTTACACGAGTTTGGTTTATCACAATATAAAGAAAATTTGAAATAAAAAATGCCCTTTTTGAGATAAACTGTTTCTTTCAGTATTTTTTTTTAAAGTAATATTGTGAACTTTTGACTAATTTTTGAGGCCCTCCAGAAAATGTGGGCCCTAGGCCCGTGCCTATTGGGCCTAGGCGATAATCAGGCCCTGCCTATTCTCCTGTAACCATGTTTTGAGGCAAGTAAACTTGAATAGATTATACATGTCGTCCAAACAGATGTATCACGTCTCTGGCTCTTTGAAAAAATAGTCTGGCATTCATAAGTTGTTTGCGTCCTCCTCCTCCATTCTGAGGTGGATAAAGCTCATGTCGCGATAAAGCTAAGTCCTCAAAATGAGCATTCCTAGGTGAGCAAAACAACATGACTAAAATACTTTTAAAAAATGGGACAGGGTTCCATATGGAGCCCCATCCCATTTTTTAAGGGAAAAAAATCGGAAATTTTCTACAAATCGGAAATTTTCTCAAATCGGAAATTTTCTACAGTAGGAATATGTCCTATTCTCTTGTAACCACCTCTTGAGACAGATATCGTGAAACAAATGTCCACAAATTGATTTTGTCGGACTATATATATTTCGTCCAAACAGATACAAC